GATGGTTGAGGTCACATCTAGTCCAAACCCCTGCTCCAAGCAGGACCAGCCCCAGCTGTATCATTCCACCAAGGCTGTGTCTATCCAGGTCTTCAAAACCTCCAAGGATGGAGAGTCCACCACCTCTCTGGGTAGCCTGTTGCAGTGCTTTACTACTCTCCTAGTGAGAAAGTTTTTCCTAATATCCAACCTTGACTTCCCTTGCTGTGACTTGAGCCCATTGCTCCTTGTTCTGCTATGCACAGGCTTTGCTGATTGGGTGCCAGATCTGTCTGTCTTCCTATATTTGAGTTAGCCGAGTGTGTGGCCCGATAAGGTTTCAATTGTCTTGTGTTCATTTCCCAAGCTCAGCTTGCTCAAAAAAAAGCTGCATGGAAAATGGCACTTCTGCCACGTGTTTAGCTCTTAGTGAAGACAAGGAGGCTGGGAGACGTGTTATTTAAAAAATGACATCATTGTGGCTAAAACCATGCACATGTGCACAGAATGTGAGCGTACGCTCACAAGTGATATTCGCACTAAGATGTGATGGTTGAACTACACTTTGACCCAAATTCACGTCTCCTGTGTTGACTCCACAACGTGCGATTTGAGGGACCTGATTGCGGAAACGACTTATGCATATACTTCCAATATGCTTTGTGGGCATGAGTCCGTGGGCACAAATCAGATAAGCTCACAGTGCACCTCAGACTATAAAGTGACGCCTGACTCAAGCTGTGAAAATACAACCTATAATGTACATATGTATTTTTTTGTTTGTTTTTCATTTACCTGACAACATACACGGTTAACATTTTCAAACAAAAACTTTTAGCTACAGTGAAAGATCATGGCTCCACTGGCACCATTGCTAAAGTTCCCATTGACTTCATTGAGGCCAGGATTTTGCTAAAAGTCTTGGCTTTGTTTTTACACCTCGTCTGAAAAAGATCTATTATAGTCAGCCAAATGTCTGTAATGTTTTTAATGCCATGCCTTTTCCATGGCCAATGGAGTTACGTCCAGGGATATAAATGGTCCCTACTACATTTCTTTTTACAGATGAAACATTTGGCTCTTATATCATCCGTTGAAAGAAACACCAGCAGCATGCTCACTTCAGTGAACACGTATGACTACCTGCAAACGTATGCTTAAACTGGTTTGCAGGTGCATGCATTACGTGAAGTGCTCCTTTTTTAGAAAGCAGATGTCTTAACTGAGCTCTTTTTCAGGGGGTGAGAGCAAATCCTGCTAGCTCTGAGTCTGTTTGTAGTCTTTTACAATGGACTTACAATACCCTAGCAAAATGATGACATTGCCACCCCAAACATCTGCAAGAGGAAAACCTAAGATTACTGGCTGAGGAAACCAATAAGTATATGGGTGATTTTTTTTTTAAGGCTTGCCTTATGCATGAAAGCCCGATACTAAAGTAAATCAAAGCATATCCAGAATAGAGAGGCATTTTGAATATGAAGTTTGCGAGCTGCCTTCCTAAGTAGTACATGCCGTCATATAACCTGGTGTGAAAGGGGTTTGACATTAAGCAAATGAAAAATCCAGAGAAAGCGGCATTTTGGCAAATCCTAACCTAGGCGAATATTGGGGTGACTCTTTGGAAGAGAACATGGGTCCTTTGGTTGGATACTTCTTATGCCGGGGAGTTGAAGGGGGCGGGGGACCCACAATCATATCTATCCTGGCAAAGTAAATAAGAAAAAAGACACCAGCAAAATGCATAATGAAGCCACATGTAGGAAAAAGTTGGTCGGAAAGTTGTAGAAACTTAAGAAACAACTAAAAAAACCAAAACTGACAGAAAAAGAGAGAGAGAAAGAGAGAGAGAAAAAGAGAGAATTTTGAAAATATATTCCGCTCGAAACAGATTGCAGTATTATATCGCCTGATTATTCATGAATATGCCAAATCTTATCCAACAAAACACAAGATTCAGGAGATTGCTGCTACTCAAAATGGGAGTTACTCTGCATATAATAGGCAATAAACTGTACATACTGGAATATATTTGTATATATGTGGCAATATCCCATTGGAAATGTTGGATATAAGACAACATATATTCTCCTTGCTCTTACAGTGACAGATAAAACATCTTAGGCTCGTTTAGAAAAGCATGAGTTATTGAAGTAAACAAGATACATTTGATTGTAGGATTGTTTAACTCAATGAATGGGAACACATCCATGGTGGGAAAGCTGTTAGGATGGGACACATGGCAGACGGAAGAAAACAGCACATCACATACACTTCACACCAGCAGCAAGTCATGAATGGTTACGGGGGAAAGTGCATGTCAACACCCCAGAAGTTGGCTTGAGTAAAGCTTTAACCCAGTGAGATGCTGGCCACTGAGGGCTAACGTGAGAGGTCATCACAAACTCTGCAAAGTTTTGAGACAGCAGAGAGAAAAGAGTGCTTTAATTGCTGTAGACAAAAAAAAGGTCATATTCTCCTCTAAGTTAGAATCACAGACAATGAGGGAGGCTTGAAGGGACCTCAGGAGGTCACATCTAGTCCAACTCCCTGCTTCAAGCAGGATCATCGCCCATTAGATCATCCCAGGCTAGGATTTGTAGAGCTGGGCCTTAGAAACCTCCAAGGATGGAGACTCCACCACCTCCCCATGGAGCCTGTTCCAGTGCTTTACTACCCTCCTTTTGAGGAAGTTTTTCCTAATATCTAACCTAAACTTCCCTTCCTGCAACTTGAGCCCATTGCTCCTTCTGTCATCTGCCCCCACTGAGAACAGTCCAGCTCTGTCCTCTTTTGAACCCCCCTGCAGGGACTTAAAGGCTGCTATCAAATCCCCCCTAAGTCTTCGCTTCTGCAGACTCGATACACCCAGCTCCCTCAGCCTTTCCTCACAAATCATGTCCCCCAGCCCCGGGATCATTTTTGTTGCCCTCCACTGGACTCTCTCCAATGTGTCCACATCCTTTCTATAGTGGGGGCCCAAAACTGGACTCAGGACTCCAGATGTGGCCTCAGCAGTGCCGAATAGAAGGAACAATCACTTCCCTTGCTCAGTGGCAACACCCCACCAATGCAGCCCAGGATGCCATTAACCTTCTTGGCAACAAGGGCACACTGCTGGCTCATATCTAGCTTCTTGTTCCCTGTCACCCCCAGGTCCTTTTCTGCAGAGTTCCTGCCCAGCCAGTCACCCCCAGCCTGCATCCGTGCAGAGGATTGCTCCCTCCTAAGTGCAGCACTTTGCACTTGTCCTTGTTTAACCTCATGAGGTTTTTTTGACCCAATCCTCCAATTTACATCAATATAGCCCCTTTGGCTCAAGTGGCAGCCCTAGGGACCACCAAGCAAGGTTGGCCATCTGTACTGCCTTCCTTAAGAGCAGTGCCCATAGGGAATATGTCTCAGCTGCCCCCTGAAGTGCACTTCTCACCCTGCTTCCTGCTGGCTCAGGGGTGTAATCATCTGTTGTTGACCAGTGCATGCAGTATATTGGAACAACCTCTGCTGGGCCAACCAGTGCATTGTGCCCCAAGGATGAGCCAGTTCCCTACCCACTCTTTTGGGGGTGAGGCAGTCAATGGGCCCCAGTCTTGTGTGCCTGAGGCAGGGGTCCGTGCAGGGTTGAGGGTCCCCCATCTCTTTACCTCCCTGCAGGGGAGTATTATGAAAGTCATCACCTACCCCTTACTATCTATGCTGATGCAACAGAGAGAGGGATCTGGCCTTGTCATTCAAAACAGCAACTTCCAGCCTCACCTGAAAACCAGTCAGCGAAATGACTTTCTTTCTAGAGTATTTGCACGGAGAGCAAGAGAAATGGAGCGGTGATGGAGGAGCCATACGGAGTACAACATTCATCTAAAAGCTTCCTGAAGAATAGAAGTCTTGCTACAGCTTATCCAGTCTACCATACAAACCACTGGCTGGTGCCAACCTGGTCTGGAAATCTCATGGGGAGAGGGTATTGTCAAACAATTCCTAGCATATTCTGGGCCAAGCAGAGATTTTCTCTGCTCTGGACTTTGTGGGATGAGATGTGAACAAGGTGCATGCGTGTACGTATGGAAGACGAGGTTCTTTAGGTTAATGTGATATCTTTTATCAGACCAATGAAATAGTTGGAAAAATTGGTCTTTGCAAGCTTTCAGGCACAAACACCCTTCTTCAGGCAGGGGGAGAGTCTGCTGGTGTTATGTGTTCTCCACGGCGGAAGAGACGCCAACATGCAAAATGCAGGTCTGTGACAATGTAAATGCATGGGATCAGAGGGAATGGTAGACAATAGGAGTGATGCAAATTGGTGCAATTGGAGGTCACCCCTATTGCTTCCCATTCCCTCTGATCCGCACTGCAACACATTTGCATTTTCACAGACCTGCATTTGGCATAGAGGCTTCTGTTCCACCACGGAGAAACACACCTGAAGAAGGGTGCTTGTGCCCAAGAGCTAGCAAAGAACAATTGTTTCAACTATTTGAGTTGGTCTAATAAAAGATACCACATTTACCCAAAGCACCTTGTCTGCCTGTGTCCTCAGACCACCATGGCTACAACCAACACCCCTAATGCACGTATGAATGGAGCCGAGAGAGGAGAGATCCTCTGTAAGTATTCCCAAGGGGCACCAGACAGTGGGAGATAATCCGTTTTTACTGGCCCAGTTGGACTGAACAGGATTTGCTCCCGTTTCATGGCACAATGAGGCTCTTTCAAGATCCTTCTCTCTGGATGTCCTGTGACAAGACAGGGGATGAGATAACACTGCAATGTGAGCCAGCACTTCACAGGGAACACTTACTTGCCCTTATGCTCACTAATACGAATGGGTTTTATGCAACCAGTTTGTACTCCGGGCCAAAAATTCACACGCTGACACTCAGGTGATGTTCAGAAACCCACAGTTTCCCTTTAGGCTATTTCTTAGAAAGAAAAACAGGTCATGGGTGTTAAGGAAACAGTGTTGTGTCCCTATGAGGGATGACAGGCGTGAGAGAGGTAAAGCAAACAGAGAAGTCTCTTGCCTGGACTGGAGGTTTTTAATCCGGGAAAGCATATCCAGGTGTCCGGCAGAATACTGCTCGATGACATCCATCACGTCGTAAGGCCGCAGGCTCTCCTTAAACTTCCGCTTGGAAACGAGGAATCGCATCACGCTAGAGGGGAAGAAAATAGTGTCCTTGTGCCAGACTTATGCACAGTACAGAGACACACAGGCACATGCTGCAGAGCATTGCTTGGGAACCGTTGCAGAGCAAGATGAAGTGACAGTTCATTTTACCGGGGGCCTTTTCAACAAAGCAAAGAGAGCTCAGACTGGAGAGGTAGGGCTCTGTAAGGGTATCCCTGGCCCCTTTTGTGGAAAGCTTCGGTTGGTTTGTAAGTGCACGGGGAAGGAGCCACTGCCAAGCATGCATACCTTGCACTTACATTGCTGCCCATCCTGGAAGCAAATAGCACCAACCCCGAACTGCAGAAATTGGGCAGGGAAAGTTTCTGTCTTGGGCCCTTGGAGAAGATGTGGGGGTAGGAAAGTATTTGCTTGCAAGTCCCCTGGCACAGAGGGCTACAAAATGCCACCCCTGGTGCCAGCAGCAGTGAATCAGAGCTAATGGGTTTAGAAAGACCGCATCCTACAACACTTCAAATGATGGGAGAACCAGCATGGTCTCGAGCTGGGTGTTTCTTTGAATGCCCTCCATTATTTTTGCATGTTGTGCTGATGTCAGCAGGAAGCACTGGCTTGTGGGGGGGAAAAAAACCCGATAATTGAAAAATTCCCTGGCGGCTGGTCTTTTTTTCCCCCTGCTTTTTCCTTTATGTTTCAGGCTGGGCAGCAGAGCATTTACTGAGAGAGAAAAGCAAGGGTCGCTAAAACCCTGCATTGCAAACACTGATGTGATGCCCAACCCCTGTCACAGCAGAGGGCACGCCGCTCATCGAAGCAACACAACTGGGAAAGCACCTCTGTTTTAGGTTTGAATGCAGGGTATTGGGCCTCTGTTGTAAAATGATGACAACTGGGCTCGTTGCCAATGGGAAGGGGTCCGTAGGAAATGGAAAGCTAGTCCAGGATTGCTATTTCCTTCATCAGTAAGAGTCGACTATAAAGTCATGACATAGTGCTTGCCCACTAAAAATGAGCTCAAGGGGCTCCCAGGATTTTAGAGGACCACAGAGGATACCATATTACAATAGTTCACGGAAATTAGTGTTCGGCCAAGTCAGAAGAGTGAGTGGTTTTAAGCCCTGCCCTGGACCCTGTGGGTTTAGGTGATAATCCTGATGTTTCCCTCTCTCCTCCTGTGGACTGGTTCATGACCCATTTGCAAAGTGGCTGCACTCTCCCAATGGTTTTTTTCAGCACTTTCTCCTCTCTTGAGACACTTTGGGAGCAGTTTCTAATGGCAAGCCACATGTCATGCTTGCAACAGGAGGCAGAGGAGGGTGAGAATAAACCCTGGACCCTCTACCGGACATCTCGTTTGCTATGTCACTGGGCCAAGTGGATCACGAGCATCTTAGTTCGGGTGTAAGCACTACCAGAGGGGGCCTGGGTCAGAGACTCTGCACCTTGCCTCACCTCAAACAAGTTTGGCTCTGGATTCAAATCCGTATCTGACTTTTGAGTCTTTCTGTCTCAAGAGAGTGAATGCCAAGAACTTGGGGAAATCAAGGCTGGCACCTAAGGCTTGTGGAGAAGAGCAGGTCAAGTGGAAGGGCGGCGAGTAAGAAAAAGAGAGTCAAAGTTTAGGGAAGGATTTTGTGTTCATCATTCAGAAATATAATGGGGTTTAACAGCCCTGACGGTCCCTCGGTCTGTCTGCCGCATATCTCCAGTCTCGATCTGGTTTTGGAAATGTCAGCATTAAATTGCAATGCTGCTGGTAATGCTGACTTGGACTTAATGTTGTACAGGATTTTTCTGTCTCTCCATAACTCCATTTCTAAGCAAAAATTGCCTTTCCCCCTCCACCTTCTTGCATCATTTATCTAGAAGGCCAGACCACCTGGGGGAATCTAGTTAGCAGCAGTAGGATTTGTGAATTTGTCACCTCCACTTGGATTGAAAATATCCCTTTTAACCAGTTGTTTTTCATTAATATTTCTCCATTAATATTTTCTTCTCCTTCACTCACACGCACACACACACACATATGCGCACGCACACACCCATCTTCTCTTACCACACGGCTCTGATGCTGACTTTCAGTCCTGGTGTTAAATCTTCCGTCACAAACTCACAGTTGCAGCTTTTGTTGTCATCAGGGATGTCTTCACCTGGGAGGCTTGCTTCTGGGTTTAAAAGAAAGAGCAAGAAATAAAATCTGAAGCCTCCACAACCATGTCTCCAAAGGGAAGAGTGTCCAATTCCAAGAGACAAAAACACACGGTTAACTTTGCATCTTCCCAGAAATGCTTTCTCCCTGAGCTGGGAGAAGGTGACATCTGCTCTGGCATTCACAGCCCATCTGTCTCCAAGTGCTTCACAGCAGCATCGCATCCTGAATTGCATCTTTCTTCTCCCCTCTCCCACCCTCACACCCTTCCGGGGATAAGATACTCCCCCGAGTGATGCCAACAGAGATTTCAGCACTGATTTTGGCAGGCTCAAACCCCCATCATTCCTCCAAACTGGCTAGGCTGGGACGACTCCTGTTTCAACCTATGCGCCGACCAACTGCAGACGCTTCCTCAGCCCGATGAACGACATTATATGTCCCCGAAAGCTTGCAAAGAATCATTTTCCCAACTATTTGAGTTGGTCAAATAAAAGATCTCAGATTCACCCAAAGATCCTTGTCTGCCTATGTCCTTAGACCAACACGGCTTCAACCAACACGCCTGGTATGGCCTGCCACCAAGTTTATCAGGGCACTGGCCTGCTATGGACGAGGGGATGCAGTGGATGTGTGGGAGAGCTGCGGGCACAGAAGAAAGACTCTAGGCAGGGCATTATACTGTACCTAACGCGGTCCACATGCAATAGAGGTGTGTGTTGGCTGGACTGGATAGCTCCTGCTGGGGGCTATCAGGGCTGCCAGGACCCCAGCAGGGTAGGATTAGGGATAGCTCGCTGCATTTTGGACGCTCTCACCTTCGGAGTTCTGCCGCGACGCGGCGCCCTTGATCCGGAAAGCTTGCCGAGCCCTGCTCCGGTCCCCAAAGCTCCAGCTTTTGGGCACTTTGCTTGGACTGTCTTCGATGCTCTGGTCTGCGCTGGGGGATCGCCGGACGCCCTGCGCCTGCGGAGAGCCCTTCCCTTTGGCGCCAGTACCGCGGGGGCTGGAGAACACCCGGTCTTTCAAACTGACCTTCTGACTGTGCACAGAAACCAATTGAAACAAAGACAAAAAAGGAAACAGCGGGGAAAAGTCACTCTGGAAAGCACATACCCATTCCCCTGCAGCCAGTCGAAACCAACAGCATTTCAAAGCAGCAGCGAGATGTGGCTAATCATTTTGGCTTTTTGGAAGAGCATTTTAGAAATGTTTCTGTCATAATGAATGAAATGGCAGCGACTGTTAATAGAGAGAAAATAATGAATGCTCAAACAGAAAACCCTCCTGTAATGAGAGGGCTTGCTGAACAGAATGGCATTAAACAATGATGCAAATGATCCTTAAATCACTTTATTGGTCCCAATCATGAGCTACCAAGCTTTCTTCCCTTTCCCCCCACACATGCCTTCTGCAGCTCTGTCATCAGTAAGAAATTGTGCCGAAAAGTTTAGCAAAAAGAATTTAAAAATAAAATTAAGAAGCTTTTATTCAGACCTGTTCCTCTCCCCCTTTTTTTCATGCTATCTTTTTTCCCCAGCTGGAAACCTTTTCTAACCTTTTTCTATCTTCAGGTCAAAACCCAAAACCTTTCCCTAGTCCATGTTTCTGCTTAGCTAAATGCACAGACACTATTACATTTCATATCTCACGGAAAGATTTCATATGGAGATTGTAAAAGCATTTGCATATCTATTAAGGTTGTGCAAGTATTAGTCTTGCTTTTGGGCTCACCCCTTTGTCTTTTTTTTTAATTTCTGAATTTTGTTTGGTCAAACTTCTATTCAAACCAAGATGAACTTCACGTGAAACTCTCAAAAAAGAATGTCATAAAACTTGATAAATGGGGGAAAACTTTGCAACATGGCTAGGAACCAAATGGCATGATTTTTATAATGTTGCACCAACCTAACATTTGCTAAATACCAAGTGATTATTAAAATAAGATTCGACACCTATGACAAAGCTCTTCCCATTGAGTTGGTATCTCATAGAAAGGCAAATCTGAGAGTGATTAAAATTCAAGTTGTAGTGTCCTCCTCTTGCAATAATAGACACTAATGTTGTGTAATGGAACATATTGCAACTTGGCAATATAAGTACACATGAGCCTGACAGAAGGGCATTATGAGAAAGTATCTATTCTCGGTGATTTTCTGGTCAAATTTGCTCCATTAAGCAGGCAAAGCTGTGCTTTTTTTTCCAGCTGTGAGTGCTGCCACCACCGCACTCAGAATTAAGCTCTGTTCTTCTTGGCTTTCTTATCACCATTTCTCATTATAAAAAAAAAAAAGTCTGCAATTAGGATTTTGCTGCAGATTTCCGAGGCAGAAAAAAATCCAGTTCCCTCCTCCACCGCAGCATCGGTTGTGCTATGCTGACAAGAGCAAGCATTTGGTTGTGTCAGTAAAGGGAGTAGCTGTTACTCAAAGATGCTCAAGGAGCACCTTTGGTGGGGAAGAAGGTGCATTTTTTTTTTTTACTGTCAATCATTTATGCCGATAGTAATTTTGCTTCAGCAGCATTTTTTTGGTTTTACCAGACCAAATGGTGAGCAGGGACAGAAGGCCTGATTCAAGGTCCACTGCATTCAGTGGGAAATGACCTTCCCCAGGGCATTTAGCTATTGCTACCATTTCTCTTGCAATAGCATGGGGACGGATCAGCTGAAATGGGGGGACCATAAATGCATATATGCATAGCAAGAGATAAAACCCTGCCTGGAAGAGCTTACAGTGGGAAGGTGGGATCTTTAAAAGTACCTAAAAAGAAATCGAGTGTCCAAAGTTCACTGAACCACAGTGGATGCTAGGAGCCTCAGGCCCTTGGGCTTCCACGAGAGACCTGAAAAGGTGAGACAGATGAAAAATGGGATGGGAAAAAGAGGGAATACAATAGCACCATGGAAATCCCTGGAGGCAACAGCAAAAGCTTCCCCCTCTTTCATCAAGGGAAGGAGAGAAAAAAGAAGAAAACATTGCAAACCAACTAGCATCCCCACCATTGACTTGTGTGTAACTACACCTAGGTCAGGTGGCCTGGAAAACCCCCCCAACATTTCCTGGGACTAAAGCACCTTTCAGCTTTTGAATAATCAGTTGGTATTTGGCAAATCCGGAGGGTCAGGTTCCAGTCTCAGTTCCCTCTAGATATCGGAAAATGTGTTTGCATTTCAGAGACCGATTTTGGGACCAATGACTGGTGAAGATTTTGGGGGGAAAAAAAGCATGGCATGAATGTGATTTGTTTAAACAAAGGCCTTTCAGCTGTGCATGCACCCTTCCTGCATTTGCTTCCCGTGACCGGACCAGCAAATGAGTCGATCTGCTGAAATGTCTGAGAAATGGCTGCTCTTAAACGAATGCTGCCAAATAGTTTCAAAAGCACCAATTCCTAATTGCCGGTATCTGCACCGCAGCCCTGACTGGAGACTTCAGCTCATGCTATCAGGGAACCAAATGATAACACGTGACCTTACTACATCAAAACTGATCTATTTATAAAATGCACCGCTGACCAAGGATTGTGTGTAGTGACGGGTTTTGGCCAATTATTCTGAGTTGCACAGACATCTGAGACGTGTAATCGGTTCGTGATCGGTTTGGGAGGCCCCCCAAAGGCAGGGTTGCTCCAATGAACTCTTTGCTTTGAATTCATTTGTGGCAGCATTCAGCATAATTTGGGACCTGCTTTCCAGCACCTGCACACCCGTGCCTTTATGTGAAATCCTCTGGCTGAGCGCTACCCACCCTGATATGAAAACCAGGCCGGAGATCTTTGTGCTCCAAAGAACCACTGTACAGACTAATCCAAATGCTCCGACACAACACTAATGCTGAGGCTTTATTCCACAATCCTGGGTTTTCTTTGTCTTTTTTTAACAGAAGAGCATTCTTGTAGCCTATTCATTTTAAGGCCTTTTGTGTGGCACCTTGGGCTTGCACGTCTTTGTTCAACAGGGGCTTTTTTGTTCAACTGCGTCTTACTGAACTGAATCAGCAGAGCCCCAAAATTCAGCACTGAAATCAATCTCTGGGAAGCTCATCCTGCAAAGCACTGCTGCTCTCACTGCCTTTGGAGAAGTGAGCATGCTCAGGATTTAAAAGACAGCGGCTATCATGGCATAAATCGGGCCCTGTGCCACTCCCAAATCAAAGATGTTGCCAAGAAGTAAGAAATGCAAAACAAAAGAAAACCAAGCAGAAAGCATTGCACTCAGTAATGAACACGGACGAGGGGCATTTCACATTAGGACAGCATGAGGTACAGTATTTTACTCGTTATGTGAATTTGATGAACGGTTAAAGTCCATTCAGGTCTGATCCCTGAGTGTTCACTACTCAGAAACACCCAACACCTGGGATGCCGTCATAATTCCTTTGTCTTAAAACAAACAGACAGACATTAACAACAGAGACAACACGGATAGTCCATTCAGGTTTTCCTTTTGCCATGCAATTCTTTCATTGGAAAACGGTGACCGAGCTCTCTCTGCATGCAAACGTAGCGAGTCCCTGCCACGGATGCTGGCGGTTGGGAGGTGGCAGGAGCTGGGCAGAGAAGAATCCAAAAGAAATGTATATGCTTTCAGCTAATCCAAGATCATGTTCTCATTCAACCAGAAACTCATGCAAAGTGAGTCACAGTGTTTCCGAAAAGGGATGTTTCGATGCCAACCAAGCAGATGGGAGATGGACGTGGCTTCATTGTGCAGCATGGGCATCGAGGATGACGAGAATGATTATCCAGCCACACGCAACGGCATGAAAGGGAGCTCAGACGTGGGATGCTGCGGGGCTGCCGTGAGAATGGGACACTCATTCTGCTCATCCCGAGAGGAAGAAAACCAGAAGGTGTTGAAACCAGGGTCAAAGACTGGGGCTGCTCTGGTGGGCCCCGTACCAAAAGGAGGGTGCCTCTCTGAGTTACCATGGGTTTAAAACATATTGGGTGGAAAGACTACCGCACTGCTGCGCTGGTCGATGGCCGACCTTACAGGATGCTCCTGAACTCAAAGAAGGGAACACGCTTAGCACGGACCTTGTTTTTGCACCCGAAACGTGCCTGAGTTGTCTAACATGGGTTCCTCTAGAACGACCCCTCCAGGAAACGCAAGTCCTTCCAGCCTAGTGCCACTGACGTCTCTGGGAAAGCTCCCTCTGACTGCAGCCGGCTTTGCACCGGGACAGGCGCAGCCTTCAGCAGAGAAGTGCTTAACAGCTTATGCTTAGTTTAATATATATTAAAAAAAAAATGGCTAACCCCATAATGCCGACGGATACAGGAGGTTTGAACTCTGGTTTTGAAGGCTTGTTTTATAACCTTGACAATCCTCTGAAGTGCTGTATTTGCATTCCCCGTTACTTTCTAAAAGGACTCCCTGCTTTCACTGTTATTTGTGCATCTGTTAAAAAAAATGGTTACCTAACGCTTCCTGCCATTCTTTTAAATTGCACGTCTGCAGCGGCTTCATTCGGTTTATTAATCTGCTCATTGCAAAATGTTAGGCAGATGTGGACTCCTTGTGGACTCGGTATTTGTCTCCATGGGTGAATTCAGGAGACGGGAATGTTTTTCCTCCTGAAAACCATATTCAAGGAGTGACAATGAGAGAGAGAGGTTACGTCTTGTTGGGGAATGAGGCTATTCTTCAAACCAGAGTTTGTGCTGAGTTCATGGCCTTGGAGAACAGTTTACTAAAGGCAGGCAGAACTGAATTATAGCCATTGTTTAACATTAGTACAGGGACCAATTTCTAGTATGAATGAGAGGCAGAAACCAATTACTGAACACATCAAAGGGAGAAAATATAAGTGGCATGTAATGCTTGCCATGGTGGGCTCCGAATTCAGAGGAGGACGGACTCTATACCTGGCTTCAAGTGAGTTATAGCAGGGGTGGACACAGCAACATGTACAGTTGTAGAGCAAGAGGCTTATGGAGCGTAAACACTCCAGGAGATGATGACGGTGATGGTAAATAATCATTTTTGCTGTCTCTCTAGCTATAAGCTGAGCTGGCAGCACCATTTTAATGCTGGTG